CTCCTCCTGGCCCCTGCTGGCCACTGGTAGCCCAGCAGTGGCAGGCAACAGGCGTGGCCCAGCAAGTGTGGAAGTGGCATCCAGTGGAATCCCAGGAGCTGTGTTCATTGTATTGCCATGGGAAGGTGAGGGGAGAAAGAACCCCCCCCCACACACACCCTTTGCTTTGTGTGTGTCCACAAGACTGACTGCCTATGTGCTGGGATGCTTCTCTACCCCTCATTCATAAATTCTCAGGGCCGGTCCATCTCCCTCCTCTCCTGGGCAGATTTACACCCGCACATGCCCACCCAGTGCCGGGGGCTCGTGGCTGAGGCGGGAGAGCTGGGGGTGGACATATACGCTATGGGAGGGAGCTATCGGTTAAGAAGAGAGGTATTATTAGGAAAGTACAGGTGATTCTCAGAGTTACCAGCCTCTTAGGAACGGGGATAGTTCATAACACTTTAATGGTCTGGTGGTTCTTTCAGAAGTTTTGAACTGAACGCTGATTTAATGCAGCTTTGGAACATTATGATGCAACAGAAAAATGCTGCTTTCCCTTTTGTTTTGCTAGTAGGTTTGGTTTAACACAGGACTGTCCTGCATTTGCTTTTCTCTCTGTCTGTCTCCTGCTGTCTAATTGCAAATTGTTGGTTCCAAACGAGGTGTGTGGTTGATTGGCAGAGGCGACACATGTATGTGGGAAGGCACAAGAGGTCACATTCCCCAAAACACCACACGATCCCAGAGGGGGAACTGTAGACTGAGCCCACCCGAACGGGGAACCAAAGCTCGAACCTTAGGGCTTCTGCCCTGGGCAGGGGGCATGTAACCGTAGTCCCAGGTGGGGGGGCATGGGCTTGGCTTTCAGACTTGCTGGGACCCAGCACCAACACCAGCCTTAGCGGCCCGCTTTGGGGTCCCGACGCACAGTGTGAGAACACCGGGTCCAGTGAGATCTGTGTGAACAAAGCCCGAGCAAGCCTTATGGAACTGGCCTTACCAGTTTTGTGTCAGCAGAGGGCACCAGAGCCCAGCCCTGGGCCACAGCAGGACCTAGGCAGGGCTTGGCAGGGCTGCTAGCACACTGCACGGGGCGGGGTGTGTGTGTGTGTGTGTGTACAAATGCACTCCCGATGGTCCTTCAAGTAAGCGTGATGCTGGGACAGCACATTCATAGAATCATAGGGCTGGAAGCTGTGTGTGTGTGCACAGAGGGGTGTGTGTGAGTGTGCAGAGGGGTGTGTCTGTGTGTGCGTGTGCGCGCAGAGGGGTGTGTGTGTGTAGAGGGGTGTGTGCGTGAGTGTGCAGAGGAGTGTGTGTGTGTGTGTGTGTGTGCAGAGGGGTGTGTGTGAGTGTGTGTGTGTGTGTGCAGAGGGGTGTGTGTGAGTGTGTGTGTGTGTGTGCAGAGGGGTGTGTGTGAGTGTGTGTGTGTGTGTGCAGAGGGGTGTGTGTGAGTGTGTGTGTGTGTGTGCAGAGGGGTGTGTGTGTGTGTGTGTGTGTGTGTGGGCTCAGCACGGCATTGCCTCCCCAGCCTGCTCGCTTTGGCGCCAGTGTCAGTGGAAGTGGCCTGAGACGTAGATCACATAGTCCAGCCACAGAAATGGCAACCGTTGAACGGAGCCTATTGCTAATGCTCCCGAGCAGGGCAGCCCCCCACGCGTGGGCGCCCGTAACCAGGCTCCGACTGGACTGTACCCACTACAGGTAGCTAATACTGAGTTAGCTCGGTTCGTTTGGGTCCCAGGGCCGCTGCCCCTTCGGGAGCCTGAGAGCCCAGTCTGTCTCACGAAGGCCCCACCAGGCTTTTGATTAGTAACCCAGCCCCTGGCACTAGTGAAAGTTACCCAAGCTCAGTCAGAGGGGCCCAGGGAGAGACACAAGCTGCTGCCGAGAGAGGCCCGAGTCCGGGAGCGAAGGGAACCAAGCGGGTGAGGGCTCTGGGGAACCCACCAGATTGGGGAGCCTACAAGAGGTGCCCTTTGAGTGGGAGGAGCCTCCTAGGTGGTCGGCAGGTGTCTAAAATGGCCTACTCCCAGCCAGCAGGTCTCCCTGGGGTTGGCTGGAAGCCTTGGCCAGGCTCAGCTGCTGTCCCTGGAGAAGCATCGCAGTGACAGATCTCCCCGACGGGGGCCTAACCCCAGGGGCCCGCGGAAGAGCCTGGACAGAGGAGAGCTCTGGCCTCCGGTGGGGGACGAAGACTGGCCTGGCCCCCCAGCTCAGCTGCAGGCGGGAAAGCTTTGTGTGCCTTGTGCATTAGTTCTTCTGTCAGGAAAAGAGGCCTGCAAAAGAGGCAGGAACCTAGTGGCCAGTCTGGACTTGATGCCCTAGCTGAGGGACTGTGATGGGCTGTTTGCTCCCTACACTGGCCCTGAGGGGGCAAATCAGGCCTAAGTAAGTGCCCAGGCTGTAGGTGGAGGAGGAGGCGGGGAGCAGGGACTGATTAGATCCGAGGCTCAGTTGGGCAGGGACAGGCAAGGCCTATAAACCAGGCAGCTGGCGCCAGATGGGCTTGCAGGGAAGGAGCCTGCAGTCATACCCTAGCAGAAGGGCAGGGTGTCTGGGCTGGAGGCACTTAGTCTCTGGTTAGTCCTTGGGAGGGCAGAGTCTGCACTGGCAAACCCAGAGAAGGGGGAGAGCCAGAGAGGTGAAAAAGGCTCAGGGAGGTTATGGGGTTGGTCAGTTCTTGGCTGCTGTTGAGAGGGCCCCTGAGCTGGGACAGGGATTAGAGAATGGGGCTTGGGTGTTTCAAGCACAGGCCTGGGCAAAATACTGAACGCAGAAGCGCAACTGCGGGGCACTGTCTCTTTATGAGTCCGGAGGGGAGGGGGGAAGATTCAGATGCTGCTTCCACCCCCAAACACAATCTCATTGACCAGTTTCTGGCCAGAAACCGGCCAATAGGAGCTGCTTGTTTGAATAACAGGCAGCCAGGAAGCAAAACCCCTCTCCCCTCCTGCTCAGTTACTCGCTTAAGCACAGGGCTGAGCAGGCAGAAACATTTTAAGCTCTGCAGGTCTTTAGCTCTGCCGGCAGGCAGGCTGGTTTGGCTGCTGGCTGGTAAGTCTCCTGGCCAGAGCCTGCCTCCGGCACTCCAGCCCCTCCCTGCCCCAACCGTCTGCCCCCAGCTCCTGCCCCGCTACTCACACCCACACCCCTCCCAGATCTGGCACCCTAATATTCTGCCTGAGATTACAATCCCCTCCTACACTAGATCACATCTGGCTATGGAGATGAAAATCGATGATTTTCGTGGAGGCTCAGGTAACTGGGTTTACAAATTTATGAGATGAAACAACCTTTCAGTTCAAGCACGGACAAGTGTTGGGCAATGGCTTCCTGATGAATAGGAGAAGATGGATGATTTCAGAGATTTTATCCATCAAGAAATTAACCAGCTGGGCCTGAAACCAAATGGCAGCATTAACATGGACGAGGTGCCCATGTCCTTTGATATACCTGCAATTCGGTCGGTTGCTGCAACTGGAGTGAAGACAGTCAGTGTAGCAATCACAGGTAATGAATGCGCCTGTTTTAGTGTCGTATTGGCATGTAGGGCAGGTGGTGAGAAATTAAAACCGATGGTAATTGTTAAGAGAGTGACGATGCCTCAAGAAAAACTACCAGCCGGCATGTCTGTGGTCTGTAACAAGAAGGGATGGATGAACACAGAGGTGATGAAGATGTGGACAGATAGCTGCTTTCATGCACAAAAAGGCGGGTTTTTAAAACCCAAATCTCTGCTACTTTTTGATGCCTTGGCCGCCCATAAAGAAACTTCAGTTCAAAAACGTATAAACACTGATTAGGCCTCAGTTGGAGTATTGTGTCCAGTTCTGGGCACCACATTTCAAGAAAGATATGGAGAAATTGGAGAAGGTCCAAAGAAGAACAAGAATGACTAAAGGTCTAGAGAAGATGACATATGAAGGAAGACTGAAAGAATTGGGCTTGTTTAGTTTGGAAAGACTGAGAGGGGTACATGATAGCGGTTTTCAGGTATCTAAAAGGGTGTCACAAGGAGGAGGAAGAAAAATTGTTCTCTTTAGCCTCTGACGACAGGACAATCAGCAATGGGCTTAAATTGTAACAAGGGAGGTTTAGGTTGGACATTAGGAAAAAGTTCCTAACGGTCATTGATTAAACACTGGAATAAGTTGCCTAGGGAGATTATGGAATCTCCATCTCTGGAAATAGTTAAGAGCAGGTTAGATAGACATCTATCAGGGATGGTCTAGACAGTTCTGGGTCCTGCTATGAGGGCAGGGGACTGGACTCGATGACCTCTTGAGGTCCCTTCCAGTTCTAGTATTCTATGATTCCTGAAGAGAGGTTCCAAAGAGGATTGGGAAGTAGTGACGGATGGCAGAACAAGGCACAATGGTCTCAAGTTACAGTGGGGTGGTCTAGGTGGGATATTAGGAAAAACTATTTCACTTGGAGGGCAGTGAAGCACTGGGATGGATTACCCAGGGAGGTGGTGGAATCTCCATATTGAGAGGTTTTTATGTGTCGGTTTGACAAAGACCTGGCTGGGTTGATTTAGTTGCGTTTGGTCTTGCTTTGGGCAAGGGGCTGGACTTGAGGACCTCTGGAGGTCTCTTCCTGCCCTAGGAGTCTATAAAGGAGTGTGGGTTACGAAGGGAGGAGACAGAGGCCTGAGGGGTTCTGCGGACTGGGAAAAAGGAGGGATGGGGTGGTGGAGAGAAGGGGGGGGGGGACTGCAACTTTCCTGGCTGCTTTCTCCAATCCCTTCTCACCACAGTGGCAGCTTGGGCTGGAGGACACAGGGTCTGAGGGATCCCATGGCTGGCGGGGTAGTGGTGTAGGGGGAAGGGAGGGGCTGGGGTTGGGGCTGAGAGATCCCCTGAGATCTCCCACTTGCTGAGACACTCAGGTCACAAGGTTATCACAGCAGGCAGCACTTTGGAAACTACAACTCCCAGGATGCATCGCGGAACGAAGTGACTCCCCTGGCGTTCCGCGTCCAGACTGCTCACGTCACTTCGTCCTTCACCAACTTCCGTTTCGCTAATGGAAGCTACTCGGGGCGCTCAGGGCGGCAGCATAGGGAGGGAGAGTCCAGTGTGGGATTGAGGCTGCGCGGGGCCCGGCAGTCTGGGGGGGGGGTGATGCCCGAACCCATCAGGGCTGAAGCGGCCACCCCCCTGCCGCACCGTGGTCCCAGCCACGCCCCAGCACAGGGCGGGCTCCCAGGGTGCCCTGCGCCGCGAGGGGCTCCGAGCGGTCCTGCCCGGAAGTAGGGTCTGGCGCCCGGAAGTGGTTTTAGTTCCGGGTCGGGGTCGCCTCACTATGGAGTCGCTGTGGAGGCTGAAGCGGTTCGATGCGTTTCCCAAGACCCTGGAGGATTTTCGGGTCAAGACCTGCGGGGGCGCGTTAGGTGAGGGGGGGCCGGGCGGGGGGGGGACGGGACCCGGCCGGTCCGAAGTTGTTCTGTGGGCTCAGGCCGCCACTTCCTCCGGGCCCATGGCTGCTCCAAGCCGGCGCCCTGTGCGCGGGAACGGGCTTCCCGGCCTCCCGCCCAAGGCAGCGGCGTCGGGAGCCGCTGGAGTCTGGCTGGCTGCAGCGCCTCCCGTGCCCGCAGGGAGCTGCCGCACTGCCCTTGGAAGGGGCCCGCAGCCCCTGCCTGCGCTGTCCCTGTAGGTCACTTCACCGCCACTCACTGCTGGCGCCCTGCGCCTCCTCCCCGCCACCATTACAGTGCAGAGTGTTTGATCATCTCATATCCAGGCTGGTGTCCCCAGCTGGAGTTTGTGGGCTGGTGCCACATGGGGTAGGAGGGACATAGATCCCTGCTTTCAGTCTGGTATGCACACATGCCTTCCTCCTGACTGATTCTTTCTTCCCTGCTTCCTGTTCTTATTTTTCTCCATTCCTCTTGTTTTTACCACTCGGAGGCGTAATCTGACCAGTGCTAGCTCAGCCAGCTACAGCAACAAGGGATGGAGTAGGGTGGAAGCTGTTCATTCTTTATTCAGGCCCCAGAACTTGGCCTAGAACCTGTTTCACAGTCATATGGTTCCTATTTTAACTCTGAAGGTGATCAGTGGGCACAGTACTTGACTCCTCCTCAGCTTTAAAACTTCAAATAAAGGAAGCTTTGGGGGTAGCTGAGTTAGTCTGTACAGGATAAACTTAAAAAACCACAAATGGTCTGGTAGCACTTTAAAGACTAACAAAACATGTAGATGGTATCATGAGCTTTTGTGGACACAGCCCACTTCTTCAGATGACCAGAGTTTTACTTTACAAATAAATTGTGTGCTTCCTTCTGCCTATGTCATCCTTCCAGGCAAGATTCTGCAAGCTCTCGGGTTTTTTGTTAGTTGTTTTGTTTGGGACGTTTTAGGCAAACCATTGGTGTTCCACTTGCACCCTTATACATCTTACCCATTTGAACTAAGACATGAGAGACTGTGTTGTGCTTTAAGACGTGCCTATTTGTATCTGTGTAGAATACCCAAGTATTTATATGCAGAGGTTCTGTAGTGCAGAAATGTAGAGCAAAGTAGTGATTCAGTCAGTCAAGTAGCCTGTTGGTGACAGTAGCCAGTACAAACTAGTTCAGAGCAAAGAACAAGAAACCTCCCAATGGGTTATTCTGGAATAATCAACATATAGGGAAGTTATTGCTGAGTCTTGCCAGGTGTTGGCTGATGCCGTAAAGCAGGAGGGTTTGCCTTATGCAAATACATATGTTTAAATAATAAAGTCAAAAGCATCCTATAAGAAGAATATTGAAGTAGCAAAGTCAATTCCTTCAAAATTAGGAAATACCAGAGTCAAGGTTGCCCATGACATCTTAATGCTGTCACCTCCCTCCTCCCCTGCCAGTGGTCTGTTATGATACTGTCTTTAATTATATGAACCCATATGGTTTTCCAAAGGATCCTGGCCTTGTTCTGGAATAAGTAGTGTAATGGAGCCACAAAATAAATGCTATCCAGGTTTGAACAGTCTCTTGGAGGAACCCCTTGGATGTACCAGATCGCCAGGAATCTCATCCTTCCCTCAGGGTAGGCCATTTGGCTTGACTGCCTTCAAAGATTGAACCATTGAGGCTTCAGTACTGCTGCTTTGTACTGTGAGTTCAGAGAGTTCACATCCTTGAAGATCTCCTGAGTAAGTCAGGGTTGTCTCTTGCCATCTTTCCAATGTTTCCTCCTCATTGGGATAGTTTTCTTTTGTGCAATTAATAATGTGTCTTTAAAAAACTGCCTGCTCTCCTGAGCACTTTTTCCTTACACTTGCTTCCCACAGGATAATCATAGAATTTGACGAGACCTCAGGAGGTCATCAAGTCCAACTCCCTACCCAAAACAGGACCAACACCAACTAAATCATCCCAGCCAGGGCTTTGTCAAGCCAGGACTTAAAAACCTCTAGGGATGGAGATTCCACCCCCGCTCTAGGGAATCTATCCCAGTGCTTCACCACCCTCCTTAGGAAATCTTTTTTCCTGATATCTAACCTAGACCTCTTCCACAGCAACTTGAGACCACTGCTCCTTTGTCTGTCATTTGTCACCACTGAGAACAGCCTCTCTACATCCTCTTTGGAACACTCTCCCCACCCAGAAGTTGAAGGCTGTTATCAAATCCTCCCTCACTTTTTTCTTCAAGGTGAGTTTGATTTTAAATAAAATTTATTTAAATCACTACTCCAGGAAGACTGGATTTAATCATGGTATTCTATATCATAGAATCATAGAGCTGGAAGAGGCCCCGGGAGGTCATCAAGTCCAACCCCCTACCCAAAACAGGACCAACACCAACTAAATCATCCCAGCCAGGGCTTTGTCAAGCTGAGACTTAAAAACCTCTAGGGATGGAGATTCCACCACCTCCTTAGGTAACCCATTCCAGTACTTCACTACCCTCCTAGTGAAATAATTTTTTCCTAATATCCAACCTAGACCTCTCTCACTATAACTTTAGACCATTTCTCCTTGTTCTGCCATCTGTCACTACTGTGAACAGCCTTTCTCCATCCTCTTTGGAACCTTGCTTCAGGAAGTTGAAGGCTGCTATCAAATCCCCCCTCACTCTTCTCTTTTGCAGACTAAACAAACATAAATCCCTTAGTCTCTCCTCATAGGTCATGCGCTCCAGCCCCGTAATCATTTTGGTTGTCCTTCGCTGGACCCTCTCCAATGTATCCACATCCTTTCTGTAGTGGGGGGCCCAAAACTGGACACACTAGTCCGTATGTGGCCTCACCAAAGCCGAATAAAGGGGAATAATCACTTCGCCGGATATGCTTGGGACACACTAGTCCGTATGTGGCCTCCTCAAAGCCGAATAAAGGGGAATAATCACTTCGCCGGATATGCTGGCAATGCTCCTTATAATGTACCCTAATATGCCATTAGCCCTCTTGGCTACTAGGGCACACTGTTGACTCATATCCAGCTTCTCATCACTGTAATCCCCAGTTCCTATTCTGCAGAACTGCTACTTAGCAATTCGGTCCCCAGCCGGTAACAATGCTTGAGATTCTTCCATCCCAGGTGCAGGACTCTACACTTGTCCTTGTTGAACCTCATCAGATTTCTTTTGGCTCAATCCTCTAATCTGTCCAGGTCACTGTGGACCCTATCCTGCTCTTCAATGTATCTACTTCTCCCCCTAGCTTAGAGTCATCCGCGAATTTGCTGAGGGTGCAATCCATCCCTTCATCCAGGTCTTTAATAAAGACGTTGAATAAAACTGGTCCTAGAGCAGATCCTTAGGACGCTCTGCTAGAAACCGACTGCCAACCTGACATCAAGCCGTTTGTCAGGCCCAACGGGTAGTGATCATCTAGCCAGCTTTCTATCCATTTTACAGTCCATTTATCCAATCCATATTCCTTTAACTTGCTAGCATGTATATTGTGGGAGACCGTGTCAAAAGCTTTGCTTAAAGTCAAGGTCTATCACATCCACTGATTTTCCTATCTCCACAGAGCCAGTTACGTTTATTCTTGTTGTTTTTTCTACCCTTAATACATATTTTTCACAACTCAGAGATAGATGTAGGTTTCATTTTTAGAAGGTACACACTACACATTTTAAATAGTGATTTATTTTGAAAATTTCTCAGATAAGTTTTATAGCTACACCTGAAAATGAATGATTTCATTTACCAAAGGTAATTGAAGCAGACATTTATGAATCATTGGTGAGATCTTTTTGAAGCTTTTCACAGTCTGCTTTGGTCTGAACTATCTTGAGTAGTTTGGTATCATCTGCAAATTTTGCCACCTCACTGCTTACCCCTTTCTTTAGATCATTTATAAATAAGTTGAATAGGATTGGTCCGAGGACAGAGCCTTGGGGGGGAACCCCACTAGTTATCTCTCCACTAGGAAAACTGACCATTTATTCCTACCCTTTGTTTCCTGTCTTTTAACCAGTTCTCAATCCATTAAAGGACCATCCCACTTATCCCATTATAACTTACTTTTACTTAAGAGCCTTTGGTGAGGGACCTTGTCAAAGGCTTTCTGGAAATCTAACTATATAATATCTACTGGATCCCCCTTGTCCATATGTTTGTTGACCCCTTCAAAGAACTCTAGCAGATAAGTAAGGCATGATTTCCCTTTACAGAAACCATGTTGACTTTCCCCCAACAAATTATGTTGATCTAAGTGTCTGACAATTTTATTCTTAACTATAGTTTCAACTAATTTGCCTGGTACTGATGTTAGACTTACTGGTTTGTAACTACTGGCATCACTTCTGGAGACCTTTTTAAATATTGGCATCATATTAGCTATCTTCCAGTCATTAGGTATGGAAGCCAATTTAAAGGATAGGTTACAAACCACAGTTAATAGTTCCGCAATTTCCCGCAGAACTCTTGGGTGAATGCCATCTGTTCCCAGTGACTTGTTATTGTTGTTTATCAATTTATTCCAAAATCTCTTCTAATGACACCTTAATCTGGGATAATTACTCAGATTTGTCACCTAAAAAGCATGGCTCAGGTTTGGGAATCTCTCCAGGTTAGTTGTGCAGTGCTGCCCCTTGAAACGCCTCCTCGGCATTTGAAAGGGATAGCGCCACATAGCTGAGCCAGGGATCAGCTGTGTGGCACTGTCCCTTTGAAACACCGAGGCAGCATTCAAAGGGGCAGCGTCGCACAGCTTGTCCCAGGATCAGTCGTGCGATGCTGCCGTGTGTAGAGTCCAGGGTAAACTGGGGAGTCCCCAGCTAACCCCAGCTGCAGTCATGTAGGGACTCCCTAGCTAATCCCGGGTTCTACTGAAATGCCACACGGAGCCGGGGATCAGCTGGGGAGTCCCCACATAACCGCAGCTCTGCGTGGCATTTCAAGTCGGCAGCGAGGCATGGAGCCTAGGGGCTCCATGCTGTGCTGCCACTTTGAAATGCGT